GTAGTCTCTTCGAACTCTACAATTCTATGATTCTGCTGAGAACTGTCCCTAAACCTGCTTGGTCAGACTGTCTCACTGCCAATTTTTTTAAAGTAACAAAATCAGCCACTTTGATTTTATCTACTTTGCCCTTCCTCCATCTAGGTTCTCCTGCACCAGGAATTGCTCAGTAGACAGTGAACAGAATGCATAAATATGCTCCTCATAAATCAGCTTGGAAACAGCCAAAACTGGAGCATGTGCACTTTTCCCAAGTTGTTAGTTATATTCCCACTAAGTAGCTACAATCTTTGAGATGCCTTTGGGTCATCTAATAAACTCCTCCATCCCATAAACTTCTCCTGCTGTATGAATCAAGAATACAGCAGCTCTATCAACAAATTTGGGATCAAATTCTTCTTCAAGATGAAACTGTACTGTGAGCAGAACACCACCACACTATTTCACAAGGCTGCTAAAAAGTAATGAAGACCTATGCTATGAAGCTGGAGGGGGAGTGTTTTTAAGCCAGATGTCAATTCTGAACTGACCAACAGAGCCAAGCTGTCACTTTCTCCCTAAGGGGGTATGCCAATCAGACACTAAAACCTTTTGTCACTACTCATAACCTGTATTTTTCAAAATTCCAGCTACAATTCAGGCATCACCACAGTGCAGCAACGTAAGAACTCCCACCACTGCAGAGACTATTGTGTTGAGCAAGCTGCAAATCTCTTTGCCAGGAGCAATGGGACACCATCTTGCCCTTGTCAAGGACTTAAGTTCAAGCTTAGCAAAAGAAGACAGGGCCTGCAGAAAGGGCCCTCTCAAGTTACTGATGCTCTGGTAATGCTTAGGCAGTGTATTTTAAAAGTTAAAAGACACAGCTTTACACACCACCATATTTCAGGGGTTTGTTTGACTTACATTCCAATGGAGATAAAGGCGTCCACATTGCCAATTTTTTGTTTGTTTGGTTTTTATTAAAGTGAAAGGCCAGAACAAAACAGTTTGGAGTTGTTCTTCTGAAAGATCAGAGCCAATGACCTTGGCAAAGGGAGAAGATATGATACCAAGTGTGATCACAATTTTAGCAAGCTAAATTCAGAAGCAATTCGCTGCTGATTCCCACAGACTAGAACTGCCGTACACACTAAAACATTTACTATTTTATTGAAAATCCACTGTGACTTGAAACTCACTACCCTTTGTATTTCCTGTGGACTTCTAACCAAGACAAACATGATAAAAATGACTTTCAACAACTTCAAGTCAACTCAGTGGGGAAGACTACTTAGGTTTCTGCCTGCCTCCTACGTCATGGGACTTCAAAAAGTCAGCAAATTGTTCCTTCAGCCATAATATCAGTACACTCAGACACACAAGTAATTCTGATTACTAACACACATTTTCAAGTTCTACTGGATTGGGAAAAATTGCACAGTAAATCAGGCTATACGTTGTGGTGGAAGAGACATCAAACAAAGATGTGGTTTCAGAAGCATCAGCTCTTTTATAGCTCTTCTGTAGAGCGAGCTAATTCACTTCTATAGAAGGAACTAATTCACATTTTGAGAGAGTTGACTGCACAGCAATAATCATTCTTCACATAACAAGGAAACTTCACTTGATAATCTGGTGTTGAAGGTTCAATCAAAGTCCATTTCTCAGCTTCATGTTGATCCCAAACTACTGTCACTACATATATAGCTCTTCTAGTCCCCAACAAAAGCCCAAGGAAGCAGTAGACTACTATTCAGCCCATACATTTTAAAACTGCCAACTCTTTGTTTTGTCTGAATATAAGTTCATCAGCTTAGATCTAACTAGCCTCCTCTAGACAGACGGGGCCTTTCTATTCAGGGACAGAACTAAGATTCAAAGGAAAATTCAGTCAGCAGAAGGGAGGTGGAGTGACTTCTCATAGTACCCAACTCCATAAGGAGCATCTCACTCTGTTCCAGTGGATCCCATACCCCTTCAAACAAGATTTTTAGCAAACTGAAAGAGGGCCAATGCAGACCGGCCTAAAAGGCTGGCCTGGGGGATGGAGTTGGGGTGGGGCAACCGCACGCTGGCCGCCCTGACACTGCCGCGTGCCCAACCACATAGCACACAGCATCAGGGCAGCTCGTTGGCACAGTGTGTCAAAGGGGTGTAAAAGAGCCGTGGCAAGAGAGGTGGCATTTGCCCACTTTTTTAGGAGTGGCAAAAAGCCGGATCGGGGCCTTGGCATGTGGTTGCCGCGGCCCTGATCCGGCGCTCCCAGGGGCAGCACAGAACCTCCCCTTAGGGGCCATCTGCATCGGCCCAGAGAAAACAATGGATACTAACTCTTCCCTTTCCCCTAGAACAAAACTCTGCTTAAAAATGCTCTCATGAATGCTCCTTCCCATATTCCTGAGTAATCAACACAAATTACATATAGCATAACTGAGCATTCTTTGCCACATAATGGCCATTCTTATGAAGTAAAGCAGAGTGCCCTCATGCTCAAAAATTCCTCACTCAGCCAAGTTGCAATTAAACAATTTGCAATTTCATGTTTCCATTAAATACATTGTAGTGTGGAGAATGTTTATACAAGTTTATCAATCACGTTTGAAATCAAGATCTATCAGACACATTTAATATTGCCAAAAAGTTCCAACTGATGGGACACACAACATTCCTGGGTTGTTACAAAAGGAGTACAGCACAGTGCTTCTATCAGGACAATTAAATAAAAGTTTACACACCTCTTCCAGTTTGTCAATAATCATTGCAAATGCTTTGAAGATGGCATTAGTGGGTCCAGCAAGAGTAATAATCCGTTCTGGGCAGTTCCCTTCTGAGATGTTAATGCGAGCACCACTCTACAAGGAAACAAAATGGAGTTGCAAATGAAAGAGGACTGACCCTATCCCTCCTTCCAATTGGCTGTATTAACCAGCAAACTTACTCCCAAGTAAGTACCACTGAATTTAGTGAGACATATTTTTTTATTAAACATGCAAGTAGTAAGTCTATAGGTTTTGCCTCACTAGGCAAGCTACCACATCAATAATCATGGTTTTTAGACACTGAAATGCAGTTGCCATTCATAAAGATGCTCCTCCTTCACAGTTGGTTTTTTGGAAAAGCCATCAACCATAGTCAAGATTATACAAGAACCATCCCATACCTTTTACAATTGCCAATGTCTGCTCCACAAACTATGCCTACGAACTTAAGAGGCCCTTACTATCTTTTTCTTCTCTTATCCCCAAAAACCTACCTCTTCACGCATCTTCTTTACAGATTCTCCTTTCTATACATGCACAAACACAAAAAGCAAGAGAAACTGGTTACTAATACTACTAATATGAATTCATATAACAGAATATGAATTAAGTTAGTTCACATACCTTCCCAATGATGCTTCCAACCTCCTGAAACAGCAAATGCAAGAAAGGTGTAGTTCTCAATCATTCTGACAGATTCATATGGCCATGTCCCCTTATCCTATACACAACACTATTATTTTTAATGGATTACAATACTTCAAAAATATAACTAATGGGGTGAATCTGAACATTTAGACGTTTCCATCTCCACCTTATGGTGCCCAGTACAGTTATAGATATCCTCTGCTCGTCTTAACAGAATGCTCTGCTGCAAAGAACAAGGCATGCCAAGAGCAAAGCGATGCTTTAATTTGATCAGACAAGTGGGGTATCCAAGACATTTACTGTGACCTACTTTCAGTCTAAAGCAAACAAGATGAAGAAGCACAAGTACCTTCCCATGCATAAGTAGGCGAATGGTAAGCGTGACATTTAAACCTCCTTCGATAACACCGGTGTCCATCTTGATCTGTGTTCAGTTAAGTCAGGCTTAGTCAGTGGTCAAATCTTTGGTCGCTGGGAGGAAATCAAACTAGAACAGATAAAGACCATCCTGTACTATTTTATCACTACACAATGAATTCATTTGCACACACCCTTTTTAACATGCCATCTGAAAATATATCTTGATCTCATGCTCTCGCCAGTACTGTACAAGCCTCAGCATTATGTATTCCTGCAATAAGCTTAGTGGTACTGAAAGGGAAGGAATAGCCAAGCTGACTATTACTATCAAAACTAAGATCTGCACATTCTTCTCACTAATCAGAGGATACTCAAAAGTTTACACCTTCTGGGTGTTTATTCATAAATTGGGCAGGTGATGCTTAACACAAATGTGTTAATGCTTATTTGAGACCATAAAATCAATCCCTGGAACATCTTCTCTGAGCAACTTGACCTCCCTTCCACCTCTTTGCTAGAAGGAGAGATCAATTGACACTTTTAGCTCCCAACTTCATAGCTCAGCAGAGTACAAACAGTTTCAGCAAGGACAGTCTCCAGTTACTTTCACAGATTGATCTGCACTAGTATTTAAAAACATTGTGAAACTCAAGGGATTAGTTTTGTGTCTGTAACTATTCACTGCAAGACTCCTTAATCTGGAATGTCCAGCTCCAAAGAAAAACTCATAACTCACTTTCACTGCTAGCAACTTCAACCTTGAAACCACCTAGGAGCAACTTCTGACCATAGCTGTTTTGTTATACTACTGATCAGCCAGATGAAGGAGACCCAAGTTTAGATATAATGGCTTCCTGCTAAGAGTAAACTCAAGAAAGCAGTTTGCCTTAAGATAAACACTAATATATTAAGTATGTAAAAGATGGCAGCAAGTGACTTCCAAGCACTCTTAATGCAAGAAATATTGATTTAATAAAAGGTTTTTTTATAAGACTACACAAAACAGATGATGCTAAACCAGAGGATAAAATGCTATTTAAGTGGGCCTAAGATTTAATTTTACCATGTATTTCATTACAGAAACTGATCCATGTATTCAAAAAACATTTTCAACTTCCTGTCAAGGAATGTATGCACTGTGTGCCTTCTAGTTGTTTTTGACTTACGGCAACCTTAAGGTGAACTTATCACAGTTTTCTTGGTATGAGGGTGGGAGTGTGACTTCCTCAAGGTTATTCAGTGTGTTTTCATAGCCAAGTGGGGATTCGAACCCTGGTCTCCAGAGTCTTAGTCGACCGCTAAAACCACTAAATCACATTGGCTCTCAAGCTTCACTATGTCATGGATTGTAAAATCAAATTCTTGAAAAATAAAGTTGGTACAGTGGGCCCTTGTTATCTGCTGGCGTCAGTTCAGGGACCTCCCATGGATACTAACATCCATGGATGCTCTTGTCCCATTATATACAGTGGCATAGTAAAAGGGTGTCCCTAGCATAAAATGGCAAAATCAAGGTTTACTATCCAGAATTTATGCTTCTGAAAATTTTCAGGCTGTGGATGCTTGAATCTGAGGATACAGAGGACTGTACTCTCAACCACATTTTGGTTTTATCCCAGCCAGTCTTTCAATTACCACAAAGCATTCTAGTTTTCTTCCAATTATGACAAGCCAAAAAAGTTCTTATTTAAGCCATTTCCTTTTCCCCAAAAATCTGAGCACTAAGCATTCTCAACCTAAGAGCAAAGTAAAGTAGTAAAAATATGCTGGTCCATAGCTTTAAGCTAGTTTCAGAGCATGTAATTCCTAGCCCAGAGATTTTGCAACAGGGAGGGGGGAATTGGCCAACACCCCATGCCCAATCCCACACATCTGCAGGAAGAGGAAGAATCTCACACCCCCACCCTTTTTATCTAAAACTAATTTTCAAGCAATTGAGGGGGGGGGGAATCTGTTATTGTTACTGACTGTGAAAAGGCAATGTGCATCTTGAGGAGCATCTCGTTTTGAATTGCTAATCGAATTTTTAAGAATAAATTTCCTGTAGTACCCACATGGTTAGGAGGAGGAAGGACCTGCCTGCATGAATTTCATTCAGAAGCATCTGAACTGAAAACAGCCACATCTTGAAAAAAATGCAGGTTTGAGACTTAGGGCCTTTGCAGACTGCCAGAAATAGCACAAATTGAGTCCACTTTAAGGGTTAGGGTTAGTGCTAGGGAATCATGGGAACTGTTTTTTTCTGAGACATTGAGCCTTCTCTGTCAGAGAGCTCTGGTGCCACAATAAAATACAGTTCCCATGATTCCCTAACCCTTAAAGTGGACTCAATTTGCACTATTTCTGGCAGTCTGCAAAGGGCCTAACATCATTTCTTTCTTTCTCCTGTATGGTTTTTAACCCCTTTCCCTGACAAAGCCAATGGAGCTTCAAAAGCTTGGAACATGTGTTTGGTGCATTTTGTTTAGCCCAATAAAAAAACAACATAATTTCCCCCTCCAGTATGATAGATTTTAACTCCTTTGCCTGATGAAGAAGCCTATGGAGCTTCAAAGGCTTGCAACATGTATTTGGTGCATTTTGGTTGGCCCAATAGAGAGTACTTTATTGGCCCAATAAAAGGTATTACATATTCTGTGGATTTGGGGTGATATTGTATCCCTGCTCCCAAGTTCTTCAAATGATTATTCTCCTAAAGTTGCTGTTGTTGTGTGCCTCTCAAGTCATTCTGAGTTATGGTGACCCTATCATGGGGTTTTCTTGGCAGATTTTGTTCAGAGGGGGTTTGTCCTTGCCTTCCTCTGAGGCTGAGAGAGCATGACTTGTCCAAAGTCACCCAATGGGTTTTCATGGCCAAGTGGGGATTTAAACCCTGGTCTCCAGGGTCACAGTCTAACACTCCAACCACTACGCCATACTAGCTCTCCAGCCCTTGGAGCCTCAGTGGGTGTTAAAAAAGACAATGCAAAAAGATGCTCCACTGTGAGAGGCTTTGTTAACTGAGGTCTGGAAACCATAAAGCTCTATGAGGATCAACTTAGGGAGCTGGGTATGTTTAGCCTGGAGAAGGAAAGGTTAAGAGGTCTCATGATAGCCATGTTTAAATACTGAGGATGGAGCAAACCTGTTATCTATAATTCCAAAGAATTGGACCTGGAGCAATGGATTCAAACTACAGGAAAAGAGATTCCACCTCAACATTAGGAAGAACTTCCTGATAGTAAGAGCTGTTCAACAGTGGGACGCACTCCCTCAGAGTGGTGGAGTCTCCTCCTTTATTTTTAAACAGTCTGGATGGCCTTCTGTCAGGGGTACTATGATTGTGAGTTTCTGCATGAAGAATGGGGTTGGACTGGATGACCCTTGAGGTCTCTTCTAACTCTTAAGATTCTATGATTCTATGGTTGTCAAATTTCACCAGAATGGTACAAAATCAGAAAAGCTGCTACAGTTAATATAATGAGTCCTCTTCTTTGGAGGTCTTTATACAGAGGCTGGACAGCCTTCTGTCAGGGGCACTTTGATTGTGCCTTCTTGCATGGCAGAATGGCCCTTGGGGTCCCTTTTAGCTCTAGGATTGTAAGAATCCCTGTAGAGTGCTATGTTGGGAGGCATCCCCAGCTAGTTCCCTAAAGAGAAACAACTAATAAGAAACAACAAAGAGGGAGGGAGAGAAAACAAAAATGAAGAGGCTGCTGTGTGGCTGGAGGAAGGTGTTTTGCAGCAACACGACGCCAAGTAGGCCGCTCTCCTCCTCCTCCTCCTCCTTTCTTCCTTCCCTGCAAAAAATCCTCCCGCCCGAGCCTGGGCTTTTGGTGCGGGCGGGCGCCCTCGTCCTCCTCCTTCTCCGTGCGCGTCACCCTCTCCTCCTCCTCCCCCCTCCCTCCCAGAAC